CTGGCTAGCTGGAACCGCTATGATAGAACTGTCATTTATATTCAAATGTGATGTTGTCTTTAGCTGTGTAATGGCTGTGCCGAACTCTCTATTGTAAATATTCTACGTGTGCTTTGATACCAATATATTTATTATGTTACTACCAACCACTGTGTTTATTGCTCTGTAGCGGACTTAATATATCCCTAACAGTATTCTTAAAAAAGACTATTTTTTTCTAAAAGACAATTTGTTTTTAAATGTAAATTCCAGTCATTTCAATTTTTTCAGCAGTGCTATTCTATTTCGTTAATTACGAGTACTATCAAACTTAAGAATTTAAAATGAAGAATTGTATTGACTTAAAGCCACCAAGATTTATTTTGGTAAATAAATGTCTCTAGAGTTTCTTAATTAATAATAAAAAAATATTTCAGAAATAGGTAACCTTATTGTTTTACTAAAAGTCGTAGATACAGCGTGAGCGATATATTAATTTTCTAGATATACTTTTTTCAGTTATTTTGTTGTCATAATATAGGTTGTTGTAACAGCTAATTAAATAAACTGTCCTAAATACGAATGAAAATTAAAATACAAAGAATTCGTCGGCCGTTTGGTGTAGTGGTTCGAAACGGACTACTATTCCGGAGGTTGCGGGTTCGGTTCCCGCACAGTACAAACATTTGTGTGCATGAACATATTTGTTTGTATTGGACTGGGTGTTTTCTATGTATAATATGTATGTATTTACAAAAAAAGTTTGGGACTAGAAGTGCAGTGAAAAATGTTCCTTGATTCTAAAAAGGCTGCATAATGTCACAAATCAAAAAGCTGAAGTAGACACCAGTGTGGTTATATCACACGATAAAAAGATGAGAAAAAAATAGTTGTCACCTACATCACTAAAGTCAGGAGTGGGTATGCAAAGATGGTCGTTTGTCACTTAGATGATTTTTGCTAGAATTGGGTGCGGAATTCGTGGGTTAAAATTGGTAGTGTTAAAGAAAGAAAATTTTCACTGAAATTAATAGGTTAGGTGACTTTATATAATGAGAATTTTATATGACGAAGTGTTATTGTAGTAGAAAAGTAGAAATTTAAATTCTTTCACCACAAAGAGCTTGTGGTGAAAGAATTTAAATTTTTCCGTCTTCATACAGCCAAAATGTCTTCAAGGCAAACTTAAAAAAGATATCAAATGATATCTTCTATCTATCTAATTTACGTCCTTAGTTATTTATTTTGATTAAATCCTATCTCTGGATTGGTTTATACGTACACAAGCTTGTGTGTACAAATACAATATGGCAGAGAAAGGCATCATAATAATAATGTTGATCATCAATAAATATAAAATGGGCGAAATAGGGGATGAAAGTCTGTACCTACAGAGAACCAATTTTGTCTAACGTAAGGAATCTGAATAGATTTTAGTAAGAACTGTATTAACGACTAGCTTTCCGCCCGCGGCTTCGCCCGCGTGGAATTTTGTCTGTCACAGAAAAACAATATCGTGCGCGTATTTGCTCACCGTTTAGACCTACCCTGGACTACGACAAACATTTTAACACCAAAATCAGCTCAATCAGCCCAGCCGTTCTCGAGTTTTAATCAGACTAACGAACATCAATTCATTTTTATTTTATACTAGCTGACCCGGCGAAGTTTGTTCCGCCTTAATGGCAATAAATAAGCAGACTTTTTTTAATTTCGAACGGGATGNCGCCACAGACTCGTAGATCTCCGTTTTTCTTTGGTACTATGTGAAGAGGGCTTGACCACGGGCTCTTGCTTGGTCTGCAGAGGCCTTGTTGCATCATGTTTTCAAACTCCTTTTTGACTTGATTGTAGCGGTGCGGCGGGATCGGTCGGGGGCGGCAGTGGAGTGGCGGGCCAGTTGTTTCGATGAAATGTTCGACGTTGTGCTTCGCGTTGAGTTTCATTGATGTTAACCGAGTGGTACCCGGGTATTCAGCGAGTATGTCGTGGTATGACTGTCGTACATCGATGCTGCGAATTGTTGGCGTGTTGTTGAATGATCTTGCCGTGTTGGTTTGTAGCTTCGTGGTATTGTCGATGAGTCGTTGATTCTTTAAATCAACTAACAAGTTGTGATGTTTGAGGAAGTCGGCCCCTATTATAGGCTTGCTTACTGCGGCTACGATGAACTTCCACTTGTATGGTCTTCGAAGGTTGAGGTCGAGTTCTAGTGTCTTCTCTCCGTAGGTAGGGATGATGGTGTTATTTGCAGCGTAGAGATTGAATGGTAATGGTTTACCACACGATCCCTTCTTCTTTGGTATGACTGAGATGTTGGCGCCGGTGTCGATCAGGAATGATAATCTTGAGTTTTTGTCGGTGACGAATAGGCGGTAAGACTTGTTTCCTACGTTGGATTCCGCCTCAGCCAACGTTTGTTTTAGTTTTCCGTTTTCTCGTTGACAAAACTGCACGGCGATGTGCATTTTCTTGCATTTTTGCCGAACTTGCGGTGGTAATAGCAGTACGGTGAAGGCGTGCTATCTCGCTCACGCGGGTACGGGCTGTGCGAGCGAGAGGGCGATGTCTGCTTTCCTTGTCTGCCGCGGGAGTGATGGTATTGTTGGTAGCGCGATCGTGGGTTGTTGTAATTATCTCTGCTGTAGTTGTAAGCTCTTAATTCTGCAACTTCGATTTGTAATTTTCTTACTTCCTCGACGAGAAAATGCATGTCGACATGTTGGTCTTGCTGGCGTAGCGGCGGTGCGTGGGCGGCAGCGGAGACTGCAGAGACTTGATGAGATTGCTCGATCATCTTGTCGGCGAGTTTTGACAGTTCGTCCAGCGCTGTGTCCTTGCTNGCGGCTACAATCTTAACGTGCGCCCGAACTTGCATTGCTCACGACTTACTTCGCCGACCTATTTTTGTGAACAACAGTTTATCAGGTCAAAGAATACATTAACTAGAAAATGTTCCATTAACTTCTTGGGTAAGAAAGATAGCAGGAACGAGGCGCGTTTTGCAAATTCTGACAAGTTAGAAGGCTATCTCAAACTACTATGATTTCTTCTTCTTCTTTTCATGTCGACAACAAACCTACACAGTGTCAGCCCAAAACTCCGCCACAAGAGTGACGTTGTCAGCAGCACTCATCAAATCCTCCTGAGTGCAGTTGCTTGGGCACGCAGGGCACTACATCAGGTGCTTCATCGACTGGGGAACAAAACCGCACCTGCACTCCATGTTTAAGCCATCCAAGAATTTTAAGCCAACTATGATTTGAAACTCTAGAAATGGCAGCATGAAATTCAAGTATGAGACACATACCTAATGGAATTTACTTAAAATTCGATTCCAACTCAAGCACAGATTCTTTGTTTATTTGAATACACGAGTATAGCCATGATTGGTTGTGAGCTCTAAGTATTTTATTACACGGGATCCAATTAATTTCAAAAAGTACTCGTACTGCATCTGCATTTTCATCAATAAAACCTTTGCTACTTTGGCACTAAACTTGACAATTTCCACCATATGTTCTGAGTAGTTACAAAACCGAGTTCGGTTAATAAAAACTCCAGAGTGTAATATCGTGCCGAAATGAAATAACTTTTGAAAAGCGAAACTTTTTGCAAACCGCAGTAGTGTTGAATTCGGATGTTTCACAGCCAAGTAGTTCTAGCATGAACGGTATTTGACCGCGTGGGGTAGTGGCGCAACGTGTTTGAGATTAAAGGAGTTGGGCCAGTTTTATGACACACTAGCTTTTGCCCGCGGCTTCTCCCGCGTGAAATTTAGTTTGTCACAGATCGTCATATAAGGCCAATGTATAACCCACTTAATTTTAAGCTGCATGTGTCAAACAAGGCTGTATGTTTCTTTAATAAAGATAAATAAAAAAATATAGCCTATTATGTTATTCTGGGTTAACAATAATACTGTAAAGTTTCATCAAAATCCATTCAGTAGTTTTTGCGTGAAAGAGTAACAAACATCCAGACATCCACACAAACTTTCGCATTTATAATATTAGTGATACACTGCCTGACCCAGCGAACTTCGTACGACAATATATTTTTTCTGTTGCACGAACCGTTTTCAAATCGGTCCAGCCGTTCTCGAGTTTTAGGGAATCTAACGAACAGCAATTGATTTTTATAACAAGAAGATATTGACACATTCTATTACCAAACCATGGTCTGAGCCCGAATTGCCCTTCTCCTTCGTCTCAACCCAACGATGTCCACAGTAGGGATGTTAAGGATATTATGTAGTTTCGGTTACGGATACGGTTGCGGACATAGGAATAATATTATACCGGTTTCGGTTGCGGTTCCGGATATTTTTTTTCCCTGGTCCACAGCTGGACAAAGACCTCCAAATGGATCCTCAAAGATCGGTCTTGTGTCCCATGTGGTGTGCCTCTTTTCCTTTTCACTTCGGCATATTAATGTTTAATTCAATCTTGTTACTTACAAAATTGGTAAGCCTATTGGTACGGACTAAAGAAACTAAATAGGAAAAGTCGCCATTTAACATCTATTTAAAGCCTTAGAAAGTTCTATAATAAGAGGATTTATCAAAGAAACTACGAATACTACGCCTTAACCCTTTGGGCAGCCAAGCCTGAAGCGGTGTGAACGGGACATTCTGAAATAGACTTTGGCTCTATTTTTACCTGTAAAATATCGAAAATTGAACGCCTTTAGGTGTCTTCCGGCCCTTGAAGAGTGAAGAGGGATGGGCAATAGCATTCTCCCTGAGACTGGAAATTGAAGTTCGTTTATGGGACTATGGAACATTGTTAGTACTTAGTACCTATTTAAATGGACGGCAATACTTATTGTTTTGTTGTAGCTTCCTACTATAAGCATTGATTACTTTAAAATTGTTACTTTTTGTACTAAGTGTAAGTATTTTTTGTAATTAGCTTGAAAGTTTTGTAAACGGCAGAATGACAGTAGGTAGGTACTTTACGTTTTTTCATCCTATGAAAATGTTATGTTTTGTTTAATGGGATGTACCTACCTATGGGGTAATGGGAGGTTCGTGTAATGTAGGGCCGTTTGCTAATAGGTTCCATTACGTTGATTATTTTAAAAAAAATTTTGGGACGGGTAAAAGTGCATTTTAAAAGCCTACTTGCATAAATAAATGAGTTTCTAAAAGACTTGACTTATTATATTAGCAACTGGTCCTTATTAGACGAACCTGCAATAATTATATCATTAAAATCTTTGTAATAACTTAGTTAACTAGGTATGTAAATATCACAACTGTCTTTGTAAACTTTTGTCGCACCGAAACAATTTTAGACTCACTGTTCACAGCTTACAAGTGTGTGTAAATAAAATTATGAAAAAACCTAAGCAGGCGCTTTGTGAATCGCAAAATAACTCCAATTGGCATCTTCTTTGGCCCTAAATACATATGAGTAGGTCATCTTCATAGAAACGCATCGAGCGCGATTTGTATGTGAGCGCGCCAATACGTATGCGGCGCGCACGCACACACTGAAAAAATTTAACGTGGATTAGCGGGGTGTTGCGCCAAAATGGCGCTCGGAGCGTTTCTATGAAGATGACCTACTCATTTGTATTTACTCTGCCCTTACGCCCATTAATAAGAACCTCTACTTAACCCTTGACTTTCATCAGGAAAAGTCGATGAAAAAGCGACGCAGTTGCACGCGATTGCCTCGTTGAAGGTGCTTTTGGAAGCCACCAGGCCGACGGCGGGGGGCGCGGGGGCGACGGCGGCGAGGCACTCCGCCGCGGCCACACAGGCCAAGGAGACCCCGCTGGACCTGCCCAACGGTGGCCTTCAGGATAAGCAATTAGATGCTATAGAAGAGGTGAGTCTTTGTTGAGGTTTTCGAAGGGTTAAGTTTCCTCTGCTGCCACAAACTTTGGTATTATTTCTTCACACTTTTTGATGGGCAGAAATAGGGATTCATCATCACTATTTTCATGATTGACTCTTTATTTTACATTTATGTAATCGGATCGGAATCGGTTCTTGGACCATTAAACACAACGATGCTAAGATTATTAAGTCACCGTGAAGTCAAAAGGAAGGCTGGATACGACCATATTACTTTAACTTTAACAAATGTCAAATACCATACAATAACACCGGTTAAAGTTATAGCAACGGTTAAAATTAAGGCGGTGTAGCTAATCGGCAAATAACTATAAATAATAAACATAGATTAACCGGCGACCATAGAGTTGACGTGGCTTCATTTCTAAAGCTCTTGAGACACTTACTACAATAGTACAACTAAATATTACTAAATTCTACCTCAAAACTTAAAACAATAAGCAGTATCTTCATTCTATAAATCCTACATTTCCATAAAATATGTAACGAAATTAGATACATCTTTGAATGCAGAATCCAATGAAATTTCAGCGAACTGCCTGAATATTCTCGGCTAATTTGAGCTGTAAAAGCAGACGATCCCGCTGCAAGTGCAATAAGAATGCAAATAACTTTATTTAACGTACAAATTGCAGCGATTTCGAAATATAAATACGATAACAAGCTCTCGCTGGCGTTCAGATATCATAGTAGGTAACATTGGTGAGGATTTACACGATGCGACTAACGTACGCGATGAAAATACGAAACGTTTCGTTTATTGAACGTACGAAACGTATATTGTTACTGCTGTTAGCTGTACAGCTTACTGACGAAAGAGTTTACAGACAAACAACTTTTATCTAACCACTTTTCTCTCTTATCGATTTATCCAAAATAAATATCATGGTTCGGTTCTTGAAAATATAAAAAACATATTTATCTACTTTGAACAATCTGAGTTGTTTACTCAATTAACAATTTGACAACAATGAAACTTAATTAAACGTGCCAACTAAATGCATAGGAGGCAACATCAAACTCATACATGTAAACCAACTAGGTATGTATTTTTTATCACTATTTACTATAGTCTTTTTCGAAGACCTGCCGGACTAGGATGCGCGCCGTGATAAAATCTTATCGATGATTTTAGAATAGAATAAAAGTATTTATTTGTCTCAAAACAGGTTTCATTTACAGTTTTTTACAGAGACAAAAAGGTCTATGACTCAGTGATTGCAGGAGACCCACAACACAAACCCTGTAATTATGCCATATCCAAGATATACATAAATAAATAGATATTATTTTAGGTACTTAAAATTACAATTTACTAATTTTAGACGACAAAATTAATGGGTTTATCGCGTAAAATCTATAAATTGCACTATAAAATCTTATCGTCTACGTCTACGTCGTAGCAATATCGTCGCTTTGTGTAAAGGCCGTCGAATTTCCATTCCAATGCATTTCCAGACTACTTTGAAGCTGTTTTATTATAACTATTTCTTTATCCCAGTAGATAGTGCAGGGAAATAAAGTAATAGACAGTTTGACACCATACCCCAATAATTCGAAACCACAACTGTTTTAAAAAGACTCTTCATTCTGGTCTTAAAAACCGAATTTATTTAAAATTACCTGTACGATTTTTGTTCGAATTGTAATTGAAAAAAGTAGTTTAATTGGGTTGACAAAATAGTGACGTCACTTGCTTGTAGTGCCATACAAAATCTATGGGAGAGTTTCGTTTTGACAGTTTTAAAAAGTACGTCAATTGACTGTGGTGTCAACATGTCTATTGGGGATTTTATTGCCCGTACAAAGCGTTTTGTTCCATGCTATGCCCTAATGGGACCCAAAACTTTTATTTGGGCTGTAAATCTAGCGGAATTGCAAAGTGAAAATTGCACAACCATTTTGTGCAAAATAAAAATGCTTTAGTGTAAATTCACCCGTTCTCATTTTATAACATTTACTACTCGTACTAGTTTCACCCAAGTAAATTCCGTTCAGTTTTTTCTTTCCATAAAACCTTCCGTGGGCCTTTAAGGAACATAATTGTAAAAAAAAACATGCTGAATGGTCCAGCCGTTTTCGAGTTTTGCGCTTAGGAACATTCATTTTTATTTAAGAAGAAGATCAAGATTTCATGGAGTTTAATACTGACCTTTAAGTCACATCTGGATTCTGGATGTAAAAGTATAGCCAATAGCTACGCTGCACCCTTTTTGTGGCCCAGAACTGACAATTCCACCTGACAGGTGCGTATCGAGGGCTGAAACGGGTTGATAGCCCACTGGTGACAGCAGGGTTTGCTAAATGGGGGTGTAAACAGAAAACCTGACAGTTTCCCCGATAAAAAGGGATTTCTATACCGTAAATTGAAAATAAATTGGGTCGAGGACAAGGAAATGATTTTGATACTTTAGTATTGACGTGCGAACACAATGGAATCGATGAGGCTGTCGTGTTTGGGCCGGCAGTTGGCACGGTTTACACGCTAGTGGCGCCAACTTGTGAGTGATAATGAGAACATCATAGTATATCATTGAACGCCAATATGTAATTAGCCTGTAGCGAGTGAGTGAGCCGGCCCTTGTGGAAATCATCGGGGGAGGCCTATGTTCAGCAGTGGACGTCCTATGGCTGAAATGATGATGATTATGATGAGTGAGAGGACCTTCTTACTCATAACAAATCTATTGGAGTAGGTAGGTACTCTACATTTAATACTAAAAGATAAAGTTTTTTTTTAGTGTTTGTTTGGTTGATTGAATCCCTAATCTCAGGAACTAGGTGCGAATAGAAAAAAAACTTTTAGTATTGGATAGTCTATTTATAGATGAAGGCTCATAATATCGCGCTAAGACCATAAGAGCAGAGTATCACTGAAAAACCATTCCAAAACCATTTTCACGCGTCACAGCTAAGTACTTAATAATAATGATCAAAACAATTCACAACTGTTTGCGTTTCAACATTATCTAAGACCCGTATTATGAAACGACGTTCAAAACTCGTTCCAAACTTAATAAAATGGATACATAACACCAGGAAATTCAAAGTGATACGTTAAACAAAACTCACGCGAAAGCAGACGTTATCAAAATTGAGTAGAGTTTAAATAATTGATGAAATGATTTTCAAATAGTCTAAATCGCGATGCGTTGAAACAAAGCACATAAGCGAAAACAGACGTTATCAAAATTGAATAGAGTAAATTATCCTGTGAAATGATTTTCAAATAGTCTAAATTAGTTTATCCCGTACTTAGCGCATCAATCACTATTAGAGGTCTTGTGGGACCCGCGACAGATAGTATTAATTTTCAGGGTACCGTTAATTGAAGGCTTTGCTTCTGAAACACTAATTAATTATCGCTTCGTTAAGGGAAGTCTTTTCCCTAATTGATAGAATTAGTTACAAATGAAGATGTATCATAAATAAATAGATTTACTTGGTATTTATTTAGTTGTTTGGTTTGATTCAAGTTCAAATTGCTGTTAATAATAATCTTATCAAAGGAGAATATTAAAGTATATGAAGTGAGCTTTTTAGAGCTTTTATACCTACCTGGTAAAAGGTACGCAGTAATTGATTTTCTTTACATTTAAATGTTTCATACTTATTGCCATTAAGTTCGCCTTTTGTAACTGCTTTAAGTATGTGTGCAAAAATATTTTTATATTTTAGTTAAAAATACAACGCAAGCTTTTGACCTATAAGAAAGTTAAATTAAAGCTTTTAATTAATGTTTTAGTTATTTCACTAACTAATAAAAGGCCCCTAATAAATAATTAAGTAAAAGCCAAAATAACCTTAAGTTCAAACAAAAAGAAACTTCAAATGAAGCTTTCCAATTTGTTTTACAATTTCGTTGCGACATAAATTACTTCTTTACAACTGTGATTTATATTACGAACTCGCAAACAAGTGAGGACCCAATTTTACTCAAGATTAAGATTATAACTTGGGCTAGTGATGTTCTTTGCACAGTTTAATATCGATACTAAACATTTTTCATTCTACGATATTTTAAATGCTAATGGAAAAGCTTAAAAAGTCACAAAGTAATTTTCACGTGTTTCGTACAATAATTTGCCTATAAACCATGTTTAAAGCAATTTCAGGATCTACAATGACGCAGTATAATCTTCCTGAAATTATTTGGTTTTTTTGGATTTGTTAGATTGAATATCACTAAAATGTTTTCGGTGTCAAAGTGATAGCTTTAATTTTAGAGATTGATAGAAAGAGTTGACATATTTTTAATGGGAAAAATAATAATTATAATCTATCTATATATATAAAAATGAAACCCGTTTCGCGTTGTCACGGCATCACGTGTGAACGGCTGAACCGATTTCGATAATTCTTTTTTTTAAATGTTTGTGGAAGTCCAAGGATGGTTCTTACGGAAAAAAATATTAAGAAAATCTCTACGCTAAGGCGGTACGAAGTTCGCCGGGTCAGCTAGTAATGTATAAATCCATGGTTTTACTATACCTACTGTAACATTTACTAGTCTTAAGTTTAGTAAAGCTTGTTCCATTCGAGCTAATTACCTAATCTTGTTTACACTCAGTTCACAATTACCTACATTGTAGAAGCAGTACCTACCAAACTAAAAGTTTAGTTAACAAGCAAAATTACAATCTTCTTCTTGTCGTGTCGACAACAAACCTACACAGTGTCAGCGCCACAAGAGATGGCGTTGTCAAATCTATCGATAAACTTAAGCAACATCCCTAATTCCCTAAATCTTCATACAGAAAAAAAACACAAACACTAATTAATCAGCTATTGTGTATTAAGTTACCAGAATATGGCCTTGCGTTCAAAGATTAATTGTTTGGGCTGTTGAAGCCAGGCCAGAATCTATTATGGTGGCCGAGGCTCGAGCCCACAGCGTCCAGGGATGTATTTGGTAGGTGTAGGCCCATTTATAAAGTCACGTCCAAAATTCGATTCAAAGTTTAGTGTGGA